ACTGTTTTTTTGAGAATATTTTGGTTTTGGTGTATTTTGTTCTGTTTTTAGTGCATTTTGTTTTGTTTTTAGTGTATTTTGTTTGGAAGTCGGTTTTGTAGAGTTTATTCAAGCTTCGTTTAAGTTAATTTTATTATCAAAATTGTGTAAGAACATAATCAAACTGTCCATATTTGGATCTCATGAAAATTACTTGTAAGAATTTATTAAAATGGATTAGAACTTACTTATAGTACACTATAAAATTTCAACTAATAGATGATATAAGAGGTTTCTTGATTATGTAGACAGGTTTAGTTTAAAAGACACTATTTTACACATTTTCTAAAGATTTTTTGAGTAACTTTTACCTTAATGCGAAAATAATTTCTTTATGTTAAATTAACATTGTTTTATTGGTTTTAAAATTTTGGTTCCTTGATTTTTATATTCCGAGTGACTCGCGTCTATAAACATCACTGGAGTCTTATCTTCACTCGAGTGGCATTCGAGTGAGAAAGTTACGAGTACCGAGTGACTCGAGTGAAAAAAAAATCACTCGAGTCCCATCACTAGGCTGTTTTTTGATAGTCTGTCAATTTGACATTTTCATATCTGCTCCGTTTTATCCAAAACCTATCTCTGTTAGGATGACTAAAACTTTTACTTTAAATTATTATATTAATTAAATAAATAGGCATTATCAACCTATATACTAACACACTTTCTAGAAAATATTTTTTGATTTAAAATAAAAAAGTGCAACCCTCACTTTGACTTGATCAAAAAGATTAAAGATTCTTTGATCTATGGAATATTGAAATTGGCGGGAATTGATTTATTGTTTCTGACTTGTTTTTGTGATTTCCGATATTTTACCATGGCGGGATTACAAAAAGTTCGTTTAAATAATTTGAACATTAACATTAAAAATGCTTTAGTGATTGGCATAATTATAGCTAAAAATTCTCCAAGAATATTTGGTGCAAAAAAGAAAAGTGGCGAATCACGAGGAGTGATGTCTTTCACCATAAGGGATTCCCAAATTGATACAATAAATATCGATGTATGGGGTTCAGATTATTTTGTAATGAATTTTTATAATAGATTCATAGTAGGAGATGTCGGTAATTTGCTGTTGTCAATTAACGAATAAACCTTTATTATTTGTATAACAATAATTTTGAGTCGAAAGTTTGTTGCAGTTGAAATTTATTCGCCAAAAATTTGCGTCAAAAGTGGGACAAACGAGACTTTTAGACCACAGGTAAATATAATCTATACATGTACCTACTTATAAGTTTTAAATTGTAACTAATTTAATCTATCGTCTTTCTTATACCTGAAATATGTAATTTCCTCGATCTGTATTGAGATATTTCTTTAAAGTGGACTCGCTTTTTCCAAGTATTAGAGCTTTCTCTTAAACATACAAATGTTATTTTATTCCTCAAGGTATCTTCTCCGTTTTACCTATCTATCAATGAAGGATGTTCCGACGTGAGTACTTTCAGTGGCGACACCTATGGTGCGTATTTACCGCTTCTTCATATTCCGAGTAAATCATCAGCGGGCTACTGTGGCCTCGCCGAAGTAATGAAATTTACTGGTACGTACTCTTTACTTTTTTTTGTTATGTTACAAAAATCATACTAATTTAGAGTGACTATGTTTTTATCCACTTTGAGTGTCTATTAATTCAATTTATTTTTAATTACAGAGGAAAACGGAAATATTTATGTGGATTTATTAGTTGTTGTAAAATCTGTACAACCAGTGAAGACGATAAAATCTAAACTCGGTATAATTGTTTGTATATTAATCATTAAAATTCATAATTCTGCATGATACATTTTGTAAAAAATTATGAAACATTTTAGTAATAAAAATGTATTGTATTGCATTAGGTGTGGAAATGCCGATACGTGCTGTAGAGATAGTGGACAACACAACGCCCGCTTCTCTCTATTTGGACATGTTTGATACCGATACTATTCAAAGGTGAAATGTTGTGTCATTAAAATAAATTTTGTGTATTCGATGTTTTATAAAGCACGTTTTCCGTGCAAGAGGACTTGAGACGGGATATCTGAAATAAAAAAGTAACAATAACAGTTGTAAAGCTCAGCAAGGGTCCGATATGGAATAATTAAGTCTATTGACTAAATGCTACGTTAAAAGTCTTTTCATATGTCTTGGTGGCACAACATCATCTGCAAGCTGCGGAATGCTATCCCCCGCATCCCTTTTTTAAAACAGTGTTCTACGCAGCGACTTCTATGATGTTTTAAGGAATGATTTTAACAACTACTGTGCCTATTTTATGTTTTTACGTTCTGTCTTTAAGATGATTTGACGAAGACTACCATTTAACTTTTTATCGATCCTACAATGCACATTCAACACTGGTGACTCGGTTGCCTCGCAATTCGGTAATGAAAACGTTGTAACGGCCCTCACAGTGAAGCCCTCGTACTTAGTTACTCATAAACGAGGTTTAGACTAAGCGCCATCTGCGCTCGGCCACCTTAAGTCCGGTAAAGCTGTAAATGTCTTTTCAAGGCAAACAGTGAATCTGAGTGATCTGAAACAAAAAATCTAGTAACGAGAACTTGCACCGTACTCTTCCTAGTACTATAGACGATCAACAAAACCGTAAAATTTTCTCAAAATGTGTTAGAGCGGAGGAATGGCGTCCTTTGGGAAGCGTGTTGTTCATCGCGGATGCGCGTGTTTCGTGGCGCGGACGCGGCGCGCGGGCGCAGGTGTGCGGCCGCAGCGTCCTCACGCACCAGCCGCACACCTCCGATGCG